CACAATCTACAATTGAAGAGATGATTCTCACGATGCCCCAAAGGATCAACGAACTCCACGAAGCGAAAGGAAGATATACTAGATATTAATTAAATTATAAATATATCAATTCTTGTGAATATGACTGAAAAAATTCATTTTTTCTGAAAATATATATCTGATCTTATGATGGACTTAAAATAGTTGACTGTTCTTCTTCTTTGTTCTCCTAAAGAAGAATAGTCAACTATTCGAAAGCGCTCGAGTTTTGGGTCTTATTTTAAGTCTATTACACTTTATATGTGATCCTTTGTGCTAACTCTTTTATCAAAATTGATCTTATGATGTTAATTTTTATCCAGACCTGTTCACGAAACAATCTTTTTATTCACGATAAAAGTATTCTTAGTGACTTGTATAGAATTCATAGACAAAATTAAATCAAACCCACGACATTTTCAGTTTTACACAATAAAACTCTTTATTACAGTCTTTAATACTCTCTACATCTTTCAACATTCAAACGTTTCATCTTCAGTTGTATAATTCACAATATCTCATACAATATTTATATTCTCTATTCAATTATGTGATATGTTACTTTTCATTTTTGTTAAAGAATATCACGCCATCTACTTACTATTAATCCCTCGTCCTTGTTTAATACATTATTATTTTTCTTAAACCCATTTTATTCCAATTATTCACAAATGTTTCTGGCACTGTGAGTTTTGGATGGAGCTAGTAACATAATTTTCCCACTGTATTATATGTTTTGTTACACTAACACGTTCATCTAATAACGAAATATATTTTTATTTTTAATAATTCACTTCTGCTCATTTACTCTATGTTTTATATTCCTTTCACTCTGACCTATGCATATTCTTCCACAATCGCATTTTTTTTTATAAGTGCCTGTTCTTCCATTATATTCCCTTTGTCCTTATTCTTATTTCGTAATTAATTAACTTTATTCATAGATTTACAAATAAGATTCTCCCACCCCAGTGGCACAGCGGTATGTCTGCGGACTTACAACGCTAGAAACCGGGTTTCAATACCAGTGGTGGGCAGAGCACAGATAGCCCATTGTATAGCTTTGTGCTTAACTTCAACCAAACAAACAATAAATAAGATAAAAAAATTTTAATTACAGAAAATATTAAAATCTTTGCATGTGTCTAGGGCAAGATTAACCCTTTCTTTAAATGTTTCAAATTCTTTCATCAGATTACTTTTGTAGTAATTATGTTTCATAAATATCGTAACTGCTCTATCGATGATAAATATCTAGTGAAAAGAACCTTTGTCAACTGCTATATTATTGAACGATAATATTTCGTTATCTAACTCATGATTACAATACAGTTTTATAGCACACACACACACCAGTGGCACAGCGGTATGTCTGCGAACTTACAACGCTAGAAACCGGGTTTCGATACCCGTGGTGGGCAGAGCACAGACAGCCCATTGTGCAGCTTTGTGCTTAACTTCAAACGACAACAGTTTTATAGATCCATACAAATAGGTATAGAAAGCTGATGTTTTTGTGTGACACAAGTAGTTGACGCATTGAAATAATCATAGAAAAAGTTTGATGATCAGTGGTGGTTTCTTACTTTTGTCATTTTTAACTAATATGTCTTTAAAAGATAAACTATAATTTTTTTCTACATCATTAGTATATGTAATAGAAGTCGCTAAATTATTTAAGTAATTAGAGAACTTTGTTAATGCTTCTTTACCATGTCACTATATCATAAAAGTGTCATCAACATAGCTTATCCAAATTCCTGGTGTCAAATTATAGTTACTTAAAGCTTGACTTTCAAACTCGTTCGAATAAAACCACACAGTGATGGTAGTAATGGATATCCCACAGCTAATTCTTCATTCTGTCTGTAATATTTCTTATGAACCTGAAAAACCGAAATTTCTATACAACATTTAAACAGATTAATAATCTCTGTCATTTTTAATGATGCAAGTTTACTTTAAAAATTGAATATTTCAATGTTTTCATAATCGTTTCAATTTTTCAAAACCAGATGGCAGTACAGTTTGGTTGTTTGTAATGACTAGTCGAGACTACTAAAACTTAGGTAGAAAATAAAGAAAGAAACATGTAAACATAAATTAAATGTACCAAAAACCTCAAGTCTTTAAACAATTGACAAATATGTGAATATTATATTAGTGTCAGTGATAAATTAACACCAGTCTCTTAACCTTGAAAAGTACATTATATAAAGGTTGTACTTTAATCAGGTATAATAATCTACATGAAGTACGATACAAGCTCAACTGTAAACATTACGCGTTCAGTGTAGCTATCAGAGCATGATAATCTACATGAAGTACGATACAAGTTCAACTGTAAACATTACGCGTTCAGTGTAGCTATTAGAGCATGATAATCTACATGAAGTACGATACAACTTCCCATACAAATCTTCTGTTCCGTTCCTCCTTTGTTTGATATTCACTTACGAAATATTTCTGAATAAATTTGAAAAAAACAGATAAATAGATAGCTAATACAGAAAGCATTTATATGTACTAAGTAATTAAACAATGACAAGCAATTACATTAAATAATTATTTTTTTTAGAAATAAGAAAGTAAATCCAGAACTATTTTAGGACCCTTTACATTTAGTTATACTATGAAATGCCAATGTGTTCAAACATAATTGGTGTTTTTTTAAGTATATATCGTCAGATCTGTTAGTTAATGTTCTGTTGGGCTATACTTATTATATATATATATAGTCTATGATTGTGTATCATAATATAATTATCAAGATTAATCTGCGAATCAGTGCGAGAAAATTACAATGCATTTTATACTAGTGATTTAGGAAGATGTTGCATCTGGTGCTGCTGCTGCCATCTATGGACGCGAGTAAGAAGGAAACGAAAAAAATGAAATGGATAAGAACGTAAAATATAAGACGTCATAATCCTACTACTACTTTTCCCTACAGATAGTAGCAAAAGCGCAAAACTACATAGGTTGAGTTATTGAACAGATAAACCAGATGTACATTAATTGCTGGTGGTAAAGTACAACCTGTCTCAGGTACAAACATACGCTGTCGAGTCCCACTTGACAATATAAGTAGCAGTGAGGACAAGACGTAAAGCGTCATCTGTTAGTTTCGATATCCAATTTGCACAACAACCCAAAATCATTACTTATATTTATTAGTTTAACACACATTCCGGGCCTTTTAATTATGTTTTTTTTTTTGGAAAATCAAAAGACTGATACTAATTAAACCCCTACAAAAATGTCGAATTTAATTATTTCATACAGAATTGCAGTTAAGCATTCTGTGAAAGTATATTTGTAATATATTCGGTTTGTAACGTGATCTACAGTAAAAAATCAAATTAATTTAGTTGGTTTGTCGCGTTTTGGAACACTTTCATTAATCACCCACTAAAAAACGTACATCACGTATAACAGTTAAACGAACCGCCTAAACGTCACGTTAGTGTAGCCTATGTAATATGTAAAGTTAAGTATACACTTACCCCTTATAGTGAG